GTCAGCGTGTGCTCCCTCAGGGCTCCAGCAGCTGGGAGGCGGCGGACCTGGGCAACGAGGAGCGGAAGCAGAAGTTCCTGCGGCTGATGGGCGCTGGGAAGGTGAGGCCGCCCCGCTTTCCCCCTCACCCCGCGGGCACCCGAGAGGGAGGAATCCCGACCCCCACCCGCACGGCCGGCTAGGCGGGGCTTTTTTTTTCCCCGATGCAATTAAACTCCCCAAAAGGAGGCTTGGCCCAGATTGAGTGGTCTCAGAGGAAAAACGACAACACTCAACGGCAATTGCGCTTTGGGACTCTCCTTTAAGGAGGATTTGGGTTTCCCAGCCGCAGCTATTATAGCAGCAGCGGTGTAACACAAAACATGGGCCTGAAATTGTCAAGTCTCTGCTCTGGATCTTCCTCCCCAGCCCTTTGTGTTTGGGCACCAGCTAATAAAAATATCTGTGGATATATCTGATGGAGCCCGTGCTAAAAACTAACAAACCTATGCATTAGGTCAGTAAAATTCTCATTGGGAAAAAAGATAAAAAACCATGGTAACTGGTAGATGAAAATAGCAAAATAATAAACCTAATTCAATAATCCAATATTTCTACTAAGCTTTTTGCAAAAAAATGCTGCGACACTAGTAAAATGTGCTTTTTCCGTGTACAAAATGTGGTTTTAGAATTGCAATTCTACTTGCCTGCAAGAAAAATAATTTCATTTGTACTAGCTTGTTTTGCTTGAATACTGTATTTTTGTAAGCTAAAATATTTTATGGTATTAAAAAAGTGTAAGTTAATATTCCTAATGGGTAGGAATACAATACCCTATTAAAACATCCCACTACCACTAATCCTGCCCTCTATTTGGATACTTCATGCTCCTTGCTGTGTAATGCCAGTTCTCACCTATAGGGATATATTTGCTAATGAGCAATGACTGAGCCAGTATATTAATGGAACACTCTGGAAGTCTTAACCTCATAGGGTGACCAGTCTAAAAGTGGGATCATCAAAAGATGCACAGACTGAACTATTGCATAGTGCCAGAGAAAGAGACCCAAAGGGCAAATTGTCAGAACTTAAATTCACATCTAGTCCAGGATTGTGTGGTGTAGTTTTCATATCAGGTGATCACTGTTCTGCTCATTTATCTGATGCACTAGCATGGCTTGGTCTTCCTCTTTGGAGTGGCAAGAAACTGAATGAAATAGAGCCAGCTTTGGGGTGTGGGAAAAATAAAGAGTATGGAGTTGTTTGGGTTTCTTTTTCAGAAAATTCAACAAAGTGAAGATGAAACAAGTTCAATCAAGAGGCAGAAGGTGTTAGCTAGTAAAACTTCAGAGTTGGTTGTCATGGTTTGACAGCAAACTTTTTCCATTCGAGATGTCCAGAATGTTGGCAGAGCTGTCAGTGCACCCTAAAGCTCCAAAACAAACTGCCTTTTCTTTTAGAAAGAACATACTGGCCGCCTTGTTATCGGAGACCACAGATCAACCTCTCACTTCAGGACAGGTCAGTTTATCCAACAGCTGATACAAAGTTGGAAATGGAACACTTACTTAGAAACATCCCAGTACTTCGACCTTTTTAGGTGTTGCAGGGAGGAATTCAGGTTTTGTGGCTGAAGACAGGTCAGGCTGTGGAGTTGCAGGAAGTTCCCGATTTCTCTTGTTATATTGCTGGCAAAGAGTTTCTCTGACCACTTACTTGCCTTCTGAAGTCCAGGTTCAGTAAAATCCTAGATGGTCATTTTAACTTGTGTACAAATGTGCTGGAATTCAGGGTCTGTAGGTTCTCACTCTTATTCTGCTGTCAAAATAAGAAAGTGACATTTTATTGCTGTTGGTACCTAGCAGTGTTATACTTCTTCCTTGCTACCAGGTACAAATATCTAAGCCTCAAAATCATTGTGCATGAAAAAGAATAGGGTTAATTTCTCCCCACACCTGATTATCCATTGAACAGGAAGATCTGTGCCATAAAGCAGTGAGCTGAAAGCTGAAAAGATCTGCAGAGTCGTCATGGCAATCAGCAATAATTAGATGTCATGTGACATATGACCATGGTAACTTCTTATCAGGTGTGATCAGGTAGTAAGTCAAAGTACATAGAAATGAAACTGGGCTTGACTGTGTGAGAGAAGATTTGATAAAGCTGTATGGAAGAGCAGCTGTCAGAGTCCCAGAAATCTTATTTTCCTGGTGTGTTCCACTAGTTACTTTTCAGTTGATGAAAAATTATCTATGGACCAAAACACCCAAAGAAGGCTGAGGATTGGTTCTAGCTTGCAGAGTGACTGAGAATCACCTCCTTATATCTGAATTTCCTTGAGGTGGTGCTTTCCCTAAGGAGTTGTAAAGAATGAATGCTGCTTTGTTATTAGCAAAAAATCAAGGTGGTGTTTTTTCACTAAAAATCAGAACAGCTTTTTTCTTAATACTTGACTTCCATCTCCAAGATACAGTTGTTGTCCTTTTATGATAACATACAGCTCTAACTTCCAAATGACAAAACATTTAATTTGCAATGCAAGCATTTAATTTTACAGAGATATTAATTCAAAACAAGAGTATTATAGGCCTGTATTAGTTTTTCTGCTAATTCCTAAAGACGGGAAAACGTAGAGCTGTAGTAACTGCTCCTGCTAATGCAGGATGCATCAGATAGTTTCAGATACAGCTCTATAAAAGAGTGGTAGTATTGTCCTGACATCTGCTACTATACATTCAACTCTGTGATCACGTGTTCTGTAGGAAAGGTCAGAAACCGCAGCCTTGCTGAGGCACATTGCAGTATGGGCAGGAGGCACAGGGGAGCCACAGTGGTTACACTCACCTTGTTTGGTAGAACATGGGCCACACATAGCACAGCTGCTTGAATGCATCATATCTTGGGAACTTACCAACCCACCTTTTTAGCAAAGCACCTTTGCTTGCACGCTTGATGCAATGGCTTGTAAATCAGATGGTTTGTATGCAACAAAACACAATTCAGTAGCTGAAGATAGCTGAAGGGACGCTTTTTAACATATGTAGTGATAAATTTGAAAATGTGGCTTTGTGTAATTTGATGTCTTTGTTAATTTGAATGAACCATAACCAAAGTACACTGGACAATGCAGGGGAAGAAGACAAAAAAATGAATGAAGAACTGGAGTCTCAGTACCAACAGAGCATGGATAGCACGATGTCTGGACGAAACCGGCGCCATTGTGGACTTGGTTTCAGTGAGGTAGTAAGTTGTTTATTTCCATAATAATTAGGCTTTCTTCACTAATATGAGATTATTTATCGTTTACAAATCCAATCACCACAACTAGTGGCAAACTGCCACAGTTTGGGTTACTGCAGGCACTTGACCTCTACTTGTATACACTGTGGTGGCCATTTTATGCCTGGAAATGATGGATGCTTTTCACTGTTCTGAAAAGTGATATGGCATGCATAATGTGCAGTAGTAGTCTAGATTGATTTGGACAGAAAGTGACAAATACATTAAATCAAAGTATTGCCAAGGAATACCTAAGAAGGCAGAATAACCATCTGCATTGTCACTGGGAGCTAGTAATCTTAGCTTCTTGTTGGAGCAATGCATGTACCTCTCTGTGGTCCTGAAAAGTAAGCAGCTAGAGAAGGGTCAAAGAAGAGAAACTAGCTGTATAGTCCTCCCATGAACTGACACTGATCTTGTACTTGCAAGGAATTCCATAGGAATAAACAGGAAGAGAAGTCTGAGAAAACCAAACAGAATTATTAGGAGTATGTCTTTATCTGCCAATTGAAAGGTGCAATAATTATGGTTTTTGGTAGCTATTATCACCAATTACTGCATAAAAACATCTCATGTTTCCAGAGCGGGTAAAACAACCTCTGCAGTACTAGGAATTCTTAGTATTGCAGACAGTGAGGCTTTGCTCTTTAGGAGCATGAACAAAATACCATTTTGGGATTGTTCTTGTTACCAGTATCATTGGATTACTTCAGCATTCCTTATGCTGTGGGTTGCTAAACTTATTTTCAAAGATTAGTCATCAATATAAGTTCTTGATGGTCTAGCTATTAGTTTCATTATGGTTTACTTCATGACAAATATTCAAGTGTCATTATGTGCTGTGTACACCAAAGTAAGGAATTACTAACCTGATGTGATTGGAAAATTTTCAGGCTCATGAAATGGTGTCTTTAGGATTTCTGCTGTAATTAAATAAGAATATGGCTGAAGAAACCATGGAAGTCACAGCTGGTACAATTAACCACTTCAGTGAAGTTGCTTTCTGTCTAGTAATTTGTATATTAAAGACTCACATTAAGCAACATAAACCATTTTGGGACTAAAATGAAAGGAGCCATTAAAAACACATCCTCGCTGGGAAATTTTAACAGCTACAGGAGATAATAGTTTATCTGTCTCATAATCTGAACTTCTAGTTTCAGGAAAGTGAAGAACAGGACGAGGCGGCTGGACACTCCTCTGATGAGAGTTCAGAGGACTCCGAAAGTGGCTCTGAGTCAGAGCAAGATGAGTCTGCAGAGGAGCTACAGGCTGCTGAAAAACATGAGGAAGCTGAGGTTGCAGAAAACAAAAAAGAAGCAAAAAGCAACTATAAAATGATGTTTGTTAAAGCCAGTGGTTCATAACTGCAGATGTAACAGCTTTGTATTTACAGTACAGTAAGCCTTATTGTTACAGTGCAAAGTGGAAGACTGCTACAGCACAAATCTTTGTATTATGATTTTAAAAAGACCCCCTTAGATGACATGAAGTAGTATTTGCTTTCAGTTGCCATGGATAACATTTTTATGGGCGCAGTGATATTACTGGTTTTTTTGTAAAGTGTATAAAATTCTGGATGGAGAAATAAATTTTTTGTTCTTGCCCAATCTCTACAATGTTATCTAAACTATCCTCCTCCCTCCTCCCTTCTGCCAGGTAAGGAAACTTCATGTTAGTGGTTTCTTTAGTTAGTACCCCCGTCTTGAATTTTTAACTATTAAGATTACATGTGACTTAGTGGATGTTGCATTAGTTGTAAAATGCCATTATCAGCACTATTCTGTGATGTACTAGAGCTTTAAACAATGATTTTGTCTATAGATGCTAGTGTTGACAGGGCTAAGAGGAGAAATCACTCACTTTTATTACTATTAATAACTGCATCCATTTGAAGTCCTACAGCAGTTGCAGGGGAGAAGATGTTTTAGAAACACATGCTAGAACAGAAGGCTCTAATTGCTCCTTTGGCTTGATACTGAGGCAGATAAGCTGTAGCTCTTCGTACCTTTCAGCAGAAAAGAGTGATTTTTGAATTATTGGCTCCTGGTTATAGCATTGAGCTGTTATTAAAAATAACACCTGAAGAAACCAGTTTAGTTTGAAAGAGAATATATACTTTGATAATGAAAAGGATATACAAAACATTTAGCTTTTTAAATATAAAATACAGAGTTAAGTAATCAAGCCCTTCCTTTTCTCCCCGTACACGCATCACTTGGAGGTCTAAGGCAATTAGCACAAAAAGGTGGTACCTCTCAAGTCAAGTCGATAGCTTAAAGAGGCAGGAGTTCCCATCACTCCTTCCAGCAAGAATTAAGCACATCCATTCCTTTGCAAATTTATTATATTCAAAGTAATTAATAAAATATAAGAACTTTTTAGACTTTTTTTCCTCTTAGTACATCAGACAAATCACCTGCCTGTCCTTGCTGAGAGAACAGAACATCTAATCTGTACCTCTGGTACAGCCTCGGTCTGCCACAACCGTGTTGCAGGAACCCCTGTGGATGCTTGTGGAGAATCTCCCATTCCTGTGTACAGTTTATGATGCGCAGACAACAGTTGGCTGACATGAAAGCAGCAATATGTACTGTCAGTGTATAGATCTACTGAACGTAAACAATGCAGCATCAGTTATTGGGGAGGACTTGGAATAAGTTACGTTATGGAAAAAAATAAAAGTAATATGATTGTAAATAAAATCTGAGTGTAGATTTTGATTAATCTGTTTTACTGTATTTACATTTAATACAAAATTTCTCAGTCATTCAGCTTTAAGAACAACGTTCAGCCACTGATGGTCAGGGATTTGTACTTGATTTGAACGGATTTGTTTTCCCAGTACCTCAAGCTTCTCCTACACAGACAAAAATGAAAGTTGCTTGAACAAGGTGAAAGAAAAACCTCAGCATGACTTACAAAAACTGCTCTAGGAAGAGATAGGGGCCCTCCCCAAAAGATCAACTAATTAACTTTCTTAATAGATTGATACCAGCTTGTTCCTATTTAGATTCTAGCTACCCTTAAACCAGAATTTCACTGGTAAATTCTTTTAGATGTTGCTGCTGGCTCTTTATTGGCTTGAGTGCAAGTACAAAATTAAGGTGTAGACTGCAAAATGCTGCATCTAGACTGACCACTCTGCCTTCCCTGACCCAGCAGTGAACCTAGTTCTGCTCTCACCACCTTTTATTCTGCAGCTGTTCAGCATCCTCACAGATCTCTGGACTTGCCCATCAGCACAAAGCTCAGCTGAGACTCAGTTTCAGAAGGTGATGGATTCCCTTGCTGTAGACCCACCCTGCCAGGCAGAGGGCTCTGCTGCTTTCCCTCTAGCCTCAAAGGAAGGTCATGGTAAAAGCCTTGCCTGAAGGCTTTTCTACACAGTGCAACCAAGGTGAAAAGACCCAGGAGCTGCAGATCCAGCTGTCAGGCCCTGTATGGCTCTCTGCAGACAGACCAGCCTGCCCCAACAAACACCGTCAGGGGCCTCTTCCAGTCAGCTCTGCCCCAAATCGAACACAGGAAGAGTTCTACACAATCACTGACACCTGTTTCTGTGTAACATTTAGAAACATACTAAGAACTTGCAGAGTCGTCTATGAAGCAGCCTAAGAAGCTTCTCTGTATATACTGAGAAAGGCTGATTTAGTTCACTGTAGATTTTAGCAGCATTGGATCAGTGGTAGTGGCACAGACAGTAGCAGAATAGTTCGCCTCTCATACTGGAGAGAGAACAGAGGAAAAATCAGTTTTTCTGTCTTGGTTGGTTCCAGTCCTTTGCTTTTACAGGTTGGTATGCAAGGAGCTCCCAGAGATGACAGCAGACACTGAATCACAAAGAGGGCAACTGTATTTGTGTTTTCATAAAAAGATTTGGCAACTGAAATTCCTCAAAGAACAGCTTATTTCCATCTCAATAGAGAGGCAGAAGTCTGTCCCTACTGCTACCCCTCTTAGGAAACAACTGATGAAAGTTGAATCTGTCACAGAACTATTGCATCTGGTAAAAGGTCTCACCTGTTCCTAAACCACACTGAAAATTCACCTACACGAAGGTCAATCCAGGTGAAAATTCACCTACACGAAAGTCATGTGCAGGTGCTTTGCCAGCATTTGGCTTTGGGAGACTGAAAACACTTCCACAGCTCAAAAGCACCAGTGTGCCTGTCCCCTTGCATTTGCCCTGGAAGAGGGAGGGAACCCCTCTAGATGAGCACCATGACAGCCCTGCTGCCCCCAAGGTCTCAGTCACTAAAGAGGATACTTCTAAGCCCAGAAAAATGGGATCTGTTTTTTTTTCTCAACATCGCACAGGAATTCTTCCAGGCCAAGCAAACCAGATCTTAAGTTGCCCTGTAGCTTTATGCAACAGCTTCACAGTTTACCTTTCTTCACAAACAGGAAGCTGACAACTTGATTCCTGAAAGCACAATTTATAGGCCAGCTTCAAAGCTATAGGTCCTTCTAAGGCTCTGGTTGGGGAATTCACATCAAAGAAGATGTGCACATGGTGTTCTGATGCCAGAGAGGACGGTTGGTAGAAATCTCTGTGGATTTGCTACAGTCCCCAGAACATAGATTAAATTATGCACTGAAGCTGCCTCTGTAAACTGCAGGAGACAAAGAGAATAAGTGGCAGTGCAATATCTCATAATCAAAGCCTGGCACAGTTATTTGCATCAGACTCCTGGAAGCTGTTAGGGGATTAAGATAAGGGACATGTGTCAAGGTACCCTCACTGAAGGGGCAAAGCAGAAGTTGGTTTTGTTTGCTTTCAAGACTGCCACCTCAAGTGCACTTCTCCTGAGAAAAATATCTGAGCAGTACAGTGTCATGATGAATAGATAAAAGTTTCCTTCATTTTTGTACTGCATTAAAGAAAGAAAATACTTAGTATTTTAATCTCATTTGATTTGGTTTCAATGTACAGCTGCAGAATGAGATCACACTGACAGTTTGTGCTATTATTTATCCAAGTCCAGTACCGTTAATGGTGTCCATAGCTCAGGAAGATCTTGTTGAAAAAAAAAAAAAGAGCTAAGAATGAAAGGTAACATATGTCACAGGAGTGATTTTGTATCATGAGTCAAGTAATACAGGGGCTCATATAAAAAACAACTTCCCTCCTTTGAACTTTTTCACAACTGCCCACCCTCTACAGTGGTACAGCTCATAGTAACTAAATGTCCCCAGTCACTTAATCTCATTAGGGTTATACCTTGCATAAGCCATCAGCCAGAGGCCCAAAAAACCTCCAAACCCCTCCCATGTCTCAAGAGATGAGCCAGAAAACAATATTAATGCTTTTCTCAAGTCTGGCTCTAGAGATAAAACCAAGCCGGCCCGAATAAACTGACAACAGAACTGAGGGCAGAGACTACAACAGGCCATGCAACGCCATCTTGCGCAGGCACATCACAACTATGGAGAGAGATGCATTCACTTGGACCAGGCTCTGTACCAGAGAGGACCAACCTTTTCCACTGCTGGCTCTGGGACAAGCTGTTTCTACAGGGAAAGGGAGAGCTTCACTGATACTAACCATTCTTCAATGTAATTTGGTTTAAAGAACAGAGCACAGCAGCTGCCAACAGAAAAGATAATTGTCACAAAACCAAAACACTACTTCAGAGTCATGAGTGATTCTTCTCCTTCACCCACTGCCACCATCAACACTCCACTCTCCTTTATCCCATTAACAAAGTATTTTTTCTACAAGGACACAGGACTAACGTTCTCACTTGCCAGCTGTTTCTTCTTCTTACCTCATCCTCTGCAGTTCAGACCAAGTCCCTTCACTACAGCATTTTACTTCTGTCTGCCTCCACATACTCCAACTACTTCATTCTTTTTACTACTTCTCACTTCAAACCTCCAGGCTGTTCACCACTCCCACCTTCAACCTCTTTCTTAGTCTTGTTTGCAGATACATCTCCACCATTATTTCCTACAAACTCACTACTCACCTTCCTTTTCTCTTCCTTCCTTTAGCACTTTCTTCTGCTATAGCTCCTGGTAAAAGGCTTCTTGTAGCTGACAAGAAGAAAACAGCATTGTTCTAAAAATGCTGTTAATTCTGCTGGTGTTTTCTTTGGAGGCTGTTTTACACACCCTCTGTAAGGCAACCAGGAGCACTGCCAAGTAAAAAAAAGTAAACAGTGCACAAATGTGCACATATGCAATACTTTCTGGTTTTATTTATGTTTACAATTAGCATTCAAAGTTATTCTGACATCTCCCAGTAATTTCATGGTAGGCTTTATAATTTTATCTTCCTCTTAGGTCTACCTGTAGTTTAACATTCAAAGTATGGTTGTGGCACAGAATACCTCAACTGACTTGTATTAAAAATGCTCTTTAAAATTCCAAAGCTTTGAACTAAAGAAATATCTCTGTAAGTTTTCATGGAAAGTTCATCTTGGTTGGTTCAATTCAGCTACAGTTAGATGCACCTTTTCAAATAATGGAAAAAAAATGTAAAGGGGTCAGACCCAATCAATACAGTTGTTCAAACAGAATTTCAGGCACTGTGATGTGTGTATTTTTTGTGCTCTTTCTTTGTACTGCTCCACTATGAAGAAAGGTTGCTTTTGCTAGCAGAGCAATAAAAGTCTTAGCCTTTGGAATACAGCCTAATAACCAATGAGAATGTTTCATAGGTGTGGAAAATATAGCAATTTTTCATGCTCCTCTTGTGCATGGCTTTGTTCTTTCTGTAACTACGTGACATAGACACACACACCTGCGGCACAAGCAAACACTTTAAAATACCCAAACAGACAAAAATCAGAGGGATAGCATCAGATCATGCCTTCCATATCTTCTAAGTTTTGACACTAAGTGAATCTGGTCTTTCCTTCATATAATCCAGAAGTTAATTGCTAAGACAGATGGAAAATATGTGGGTTTACAGAGGGGAACAGACACTGATATAAAATACATAGACATATATTTGAAGATCTGGAAACCACATCAGTAAATGGTACCTGTGGAGAAAGTACCAGTGTCAACAATACCAGGACACGCTGGGAATGCTCTGCTTTGATAAAACACCAGCTCCTCCCTCTGAAGGCTACAGGGTACCTGAGATCACCTCTCTGGACATTTCACACATTTTTTGAAATAGCAGCACACAAGTTTCAGTAGCTTTTAGCTCCACACATAAGCAACTTTCCA